CGATTGTGTGCCTCTTCAGCGGTTATACACAAAACAATCCACCAGCACAAGCGCAAGAGAGCCCCGGCACGCGTTGCTTCAAGTGGTTCAGGGTCTCTCTCGCTCCGAACCTGGGACCGCCGCCATCAAAACAAACCTCTTTGGGTCCAAGATCTCACGCGGAACAAACATAAGGACTTCTGCCCACGACCCGATCGAAATGGGGTGAGGTGTTGGCATGGGCAGAGCTGCTGCTGATGATCTGGTGGTTGCGTGGCAGAGGAGGGCATGGATAGTTGGTTGTCGTCAACCAGCCTGTCTCGTTTCTCACCCTTGGTGCTAACAACATATATATGCATAGGTTGAGGTTGTCGAGAAGACGCGGCCGGCCATGTCTCGCCGAGAGAGGGAAGAAGCAAATCACGAGACTCCCATGATGGTGAGGCAAGCATGCACGCAGAGGTTTGTTTGCCTCATCTCTTTGTGGGCCCGCCTCGTTGTGGCGCAAAGGGTGCAGCAAGGCGACAAACGGTGGCCACTCGAGCGGGTGTGTATCGCAACTTCTCCCCCAGTAGAGTGCGATATCCCCATGTAATGTTACCAACACACAGCCGCTTCCACCACCACGGGCGCGCCACATAATCACGGGTAGAATTGTGCAGCAGACCTGCCTTCAACCACCTGCGTCGCGTCGCGCGTTGGTGTGGCAGGTGCACGTACGTACTGCGGTAGTGTGCCACTACTGCTGTAGTGTGCCACTACAGCAGTACATGCTATTGGTATATCTGCAGTGTAGTTGACGATGTAGTATGGGGTGAAGTGAGGCCTCGATCATGCTACGGCACGGGACGAAATTTTTGGGGTGGCAACTGCCTGTGATTGCTCGTTTTATTACCATAGACTATTATAGGATTGACCCGCCTCCCCGCCCACCATCAGGAAAAATAAATGCCCATCTGCTTGTATTGACTGGGCTCCAGCAGTGATCTCGAAGTAGCAGAAGCTGAGTCAACCACGCCGTTCGTTACAGCAACTGCTGCAAGGGCGAAACGCACGGGCGTGCGATCGATTCTCTAAGACCGATTGCTCCGCAAACCTAAAGAGAAGATCCGAAACCTGAACTACAGCAGTATGTACACGTGCAGAGAAGCTCTCTCCCTCGACGAGATCTTGCCAAAACCCCTTTTTGGACGCATTGTTTGGAGCAACCAAGTTTGGAAAACGATCGCGCTTCCGATATGCAATTACACGTCCCACAGGTAAAGACCAGATGGGCGGGGAGGAAGCTGATTCTTAAATCAATAATAGAGGTTCAAGTGCAAGAACAACGTTGTGTTTTCTTCTCCGTAACATACTCGAAACCCTCCCAAAAGACGATGTCTCGTGCTGTACTGCTCGGTAGCAGGATCAAGGCGCCGTTTCATCTCAAACCCTACTGCTGTACAACATCGATCGGCAACAACGGGTAGTCTGTTGTAATGTACCATGGGTACAAGGGATGCCCCTCTGGATTGGACGTCAAGTCAGTTAAGCCATCAAGGAGTTGATGGACGATGAAAAAAGCAGCGGTCTACGGCAGGAAGGGCGCGTACAATAACGTCCCTTTGTTGGACAGGGAACAGGGAACAGGGAACTCGGATTTCGGATTTCCCTGTTCCCTCGGATTTCGGATTTCCCTGTTCCCTGTTCCGTGTGGTTGTGTCCAAACATACGCCACATTTCCAAGGAACACGGAACGTTGCAGTGCGCGCTTGGGGCCCGCAGGTACTCGAAGGCAACAAATACAACCATTGGATGCACAAAGACGAGTGGGAGGTAGACGGTAGAGGGGGGAGGGGGTGGTGATGGTGTAGTTTTGAAGGAAGCTGTTGACGAGCGCACATCAAACGCATGTGCTAGGTATCGGCTAGAACAGGCGGTGCTCGTGATGCAATCCGCACCCTCGACAGTGCTCTGAAAGGCATGCTTTTTTGAGGTGTGGTCCACGGCAGCTTGCCGTTTCTTTGACACTTTATGTTCCCCCATACAACGGCTACACGAGCATCCACCGCCGTTTTTTTGCATGCGAGACATCTGATTATGGTGGCAATGCCTACACGGCTTGCACCGGTAGCATTCAGCACCTGTGGCAGCCGCATGCCCGAGAGTGATCACACACACACACATCCCACACGTCCTGAATTGCCACCGAAGAGTCCGTGTTCCACGTTCCCTACGGTCTGTCGGGTAATTTTAGCTCCCTCGGGAGTTAAAAACTTATGGTGCGGCGTAACTACCTCAAGCAGGGAACGTGTGTGGCATTTCTTGTTTCCAGGAAATTTATTTTGTGTGGCTGACCAATCAGGCAATAATTCTGAGTTCCCTGTTCCCTGTCCAGAAAATGGACGTTAGTACACACGCAGTGACCAGCCCACCGCTCATGACTGCCAGATGCCAGTTCTAAGGTTTCCCAAGCTCAAGATATTAATTAACTTCACAGGTGACTGCCCTGGAGAGGGCTGATGAGAGCGCAACAGCTGTGTCAATCAGGGGTGATGAAGATGATAATAAAATCAGGCTCGCAACTGGCTCCCAGCTGACGTTTTCCGGGCAAGCCCGACAACTCACAGAATCTACGACGTGTTTTGCCTCGAAGTCAGTACCCAGCGATCCTCAACGAACAAAAAGGAAAAATTTTTCCAAATCTGAATAGTCTACAGGCCTGTTTGATGCTGCCCGTTGGCCTCTGCCCAGTGCTCCCGCAAAGGCGTTGCGTTCACTGCTTTCGCTTGTTCACCTCGCACACTCGTTCTGTTAATCCAACCACAACACAATCATCCCCCTGCGCAAGCGAGACCCATTTGTAGCAACTTAGTCGCTGGCCGAGATCTGTGCTCGGCAATCAAACATCAAAACATCAAACCATACGACAGTTTTCTGCGCGCGCAAGATAACCGCAACAAGATGGTACCCTTCTCATTTCGACTCTAGTCTATTGATAGTATATATGTGCAGTGGTCGCACTACATTCTTCTCTCTGTCTCGTGTCTGTCTGTCTGTCTGTCTGTCTGTCTGTCTGTCTGTCTGTGTCTCTCTTTCTCTCCCTCTCTTTCACTACTGCTGTTGTGTGCAATCGCTCGATGACATCCTTCGTCGTCAACCATTCAAAGATATACTGCTGTAGAGAAGGCGCATCATCCGCGCGCGCGAGAGATGTGGAGTATCTCTCCGTGGAACTCACATGTGCGTACACGCAACCCCCTCGTGCGGAGATGGAAATACCGCACCGGCAGCCATTGTGACTAGTATTGACCATTCAGGTGCTGCTGATCACCCGCTAGGTATTGGTCCTCTCCCTTTCTCACTCGCATCCCAAGGCACAACTGCCCCCCCCCCCTCCTTTTGCTTGTAGCATTGACATGCCTGCAGCAATCCGTTCAAGGTATATCCAGTCGCTCGGAACACGAACACGTGATTCTCTCTCTCGTTCAAGTCAACCATGCATGCGTACAATAGAGTGTATGCGCTACCAGTGAGCACGTTGTTCTATCTTAGTATCTGTGGCATCTGTTCAAAGAGGATAGTAAATAATTCGGGCTGAAAAAGGCGTGGATGCGGGGACCGATTGGTGGGTCGCAGACCAGAACGAAAGAACAACAGTTTGCTGGTCCCTCGTGCGTCAAGAAGTAATCCCTCCTTGTCATTACAAAGCGGTTGAAGAGTTCCTCCGTTGTTTTGGTATTAGTACAGTATTTCGTTGGGGCGGTACCTAGAATCACTCGCTTCCGCTCTCTGCTATGGTCAAGGACGACCACAAACTGAAAACTCCTAAAACCATCAACACACGATGATACGAACGAGTGATGACTAACTGTGGTCTTCGTATGTATATCTTTTCCCCGGGGGAAGAAAACGGCAAACCGTTGGTGATCTGTTAGTTGCTGATGATGATGATGACGCGATGCTACAAAGATCGCAGTATAAGTGTGAGTGACAGCTGCTGCAGTGCTGCTGTGGTGCTGTAGCGGGCCGCTCGGTATTGCTTTCATTCTCGGTGTTTGGTCTATAGATTGGACTGTTCGAGGCGCGTATCATATATTATAGAGTTTGCCGTCATCATGGAAAACGGTCGACCCCACTTTGTTTTATGAATGCCGACGGTAGAGACAATTGGTTGTTGTGCCCCTCCTCGCCTCCTCTGTTCTCCCTCACTCTGCCGCGCACGCGCCCGGGTCGTTCTTTTAGAGACATGGAGGCTTGTGTGTTTTCGGTGGGTAGGGGACGCGCTTTTCCCGTGAAGTTTCTTGTAAACTTCCCAAAAATATAGCCCGGCGCACCTACAAACCTGGGTGTTCTGTCTTACCTTGTGTAGGTCAAATGCTCCTATAGGAAACTTTTGAAAAAGGAATATGAGTCAATAACGCATCGGGTTAACCTACAATAAAGTGGGATAAGCGCTAATTTAGCTAACGCAAACACTCGAATGAAGTCCGCAGTTAATCCTTTTACATTTGACTCTCCATGATTGTGTTCAAGGGTAGAATGAATGGTTGGCAGGCGGAGAAGGGCGGGAAACCTGCATTTGTCCGTTTCTGCGTACAGCGCTGCAGCGGAGGAATGGTTGGCACAAAGGGAAATGCGGGAAACTATGCTACCACTGTCCATTTCTGCGTACAGCAGTGGAGGGCCCGGTTTCGCGACCCCTGTTTCCAGTAGTGCTGATGACCTTTTGGTCGAAAGCAGTGGTCTCCATGTCGGGATACCATTTCTTGGAACCGAACATTCCTTGGGTAGGTGCAGCCCTGCACGGCAACCTAGCTTTTCGCCGTACAGCAAGCTAGAAACGGTTTTTAATGTCAAGACAACAACAACAACAACAACAACAACAACAACAACAACAAGCTAGCGTTCGCGGTGCACAACAACCTAGCCCTGCCATCGCACAGCAACCTGGCCCTTACCCCCTCCTGCGCCGCGGCTTAGCCTAAACGGGACAGCAGCAACCTAGAACGCAAACGGTGCAGCGACCTAGCTTTTTCACCATGCAGCAACCTAGCGCCGCGGCAACCTGGGCTTGCTTCGTACAGTGATCTAGCACGTTCCAATGCCATAGGTGTGGGTCGGGTCGGTTGGGTTGGGGTTAGGGATAGCGATATATCCTAGCTTTGAGCCGTGAAAAAAACGTACAGCGCACCGGGTTCGACCCCACCCACCCACCCAACCCACCCACCAGTGTATTCCCGGGCTATATAGTGTAACTCTGGTGGTGTAGCCAGGAAGTTTCCTCTGGGCAATTCCCGTCAACCATTGCCTTTGACCAAGTCGTCACCACCCCTCCCTATTTTGGTGTCCGGAGGGAATCTGGTCGCTATTCAGGGCTGGTCGCTATTGCCGGTATAGCAGCTATTGGTCGGGGTGCACAGTGGAGCCACGCCATTTCGTGGTCGCTTCCGTAGGGCATGTGCCGCCAAACAGGGGGTCGCTAAAACCGGGCCCCCCACTGCAGCCGCTGTTGTACATTGTATTTAGTCGATGATGCTGTCTTTCTTTGAATTCTCCGTCGATGGCTTAGTCCCCACACTTCGTTATTATCTTGGCAGCCAAGAACGTTGTGTCAAAACATGAGAACTTGAGCACCATTTGTGAGTCCGGTTAACCTGCGTCACTACTGTACTCTATCAAAGCGGCCATGGTGTTGCCTAAAATAGCCCCGAGGGACAAAGATAAAGAACCGTTTTTGACCGCATACAAAAATTCGGTGTTGGTGTGAAATTTCCGAAATAAATGTGAATACAGAACGAAGTACGCATACATTATACGCCGGCTGATTGGATGATGCGGACCGTTCCGGCCCTGGGTTCAAGTGCAAACTAGTACCCCACACGGCGGTGGCGACAAGCAACACCCCGTCCTCCAACTCACGAAACCGCCCCCCCCTGACAACTATTTAATAGGATCCGGCGAAACAAGGGCCGGTGGACCCACGAGGAGCACGCGGAGTTTCTCCGAGGCGTGGAGTTGTTCAAGCGCAGCGACTTGGAGGCCGTCGCGTCCATGCTGCCCACCCGCACCATTCTGCAGGTCAGGACCCACGCCCAGAAGTACTTCGACAAGGTCGACAAGGGCGAGCCGTTCCCCAACGAGGTGTGTGAGTCTTGGTAAGCTGGTGGACCGCTTCTTGTGTGTGGGGGATTTGATGCAAATGATTCGGAACGATTCGTGGCGGCACCCTGTCCAAACTCAGAATTGATTGACCCCGAGACAATTCTAGCCTCCCTCGGGCTGACGTCTTCTAGGCGTCATTTGACTTGGACTGTGCCGTACCTCCCCCTCTCCCCTTCGCGTGAAAGAGCGGTTTTCACTTGCGATTATCTCAACAAGCCTATTGGTCAGATGTCAATTCTTCGGGTAGAGATATCTACTGCAGATCCTCGAAGCACAATACAATATTGGTTCTGGAAATGGCCCCCAATTTTGTTTGAAAGGAATGCTGTCTTGCATGCTGCTACAAACGTTGGTTGTGGACTGAAGGCCTGCTCCCATGACTCGAATGCGGACGGAGGAAGGTGAGAAACAAGAAACTTCGGAATCGATCCCGATGATCACACGCAAACTCGGGATTGTACAGGTGCACATGTGGGGTGGGTTCTACAACGGAAATACCCACTCCACCATTGTCAAGCCAGGGAAACAAACAAAGACAAAACGCCGCCGAGCGGCATGCCTCTTCCGCTCCCCCCCCGTTCCGATTCCCATGGAGCACAGTCCGAGGCCTCCCGTGCTCTGTACCGCATGCTGTTTGCGCAGTTTCCGAGTTCCACAGCGGTCAAGCTTGCCGTGACACAATCACCACCCCGCTAGATACTGCTGTTCGCATGACTTTTGTTGTTGTTTTGTGCGCGCGCGATTCGCTTCCCGCCCCCCGCGGCCTACCGGCGCCCCTATTTTCAACCGCAACTACAGCCCTACCCCAGCCAGTATGATCGTGCGGCGGGAAGAGCTGGGGTCGCCGCGGGCGCCTATATGTACAGCGCACCGAAGCACGAGCCGCAACAGAAGCAAGACCTACACCATCTCCGCCGCCACCAGTTACGAGAGCAGCAGCACGCGGCGGGTTCTGCCGAAGCGTCGGGGTCACGACGGCCGCTCCTGGTATCGCACAGCGAGGAGCAACAGCGAACGGCGGCGGCAGCAACGCCTGCGGGACCCCCGAAAGGCGGCGGCACGGGGGGAAAGTCCATGTGGCTGCCTCACGCTGCTTGTACTCAGGCGTACGGTGACACGAGCGACGCCAACAACGTAGTAGCCGGTGGTAGAAGCGGCGGTGGCGTCCGCGTAAGCGGCGGCTCGTCGGGCCAGTCATTGTTTCCCAACTGGAGTAACTCCGCTGGTGCAGCAGCTTGTGCTCCTGGTTGGTGAGATATGAGAATTTGCCTCCCTGTACGAGTGCAAGGATTGGTGATTGGTAGTTAGTTTGTAACGGTGATCGACAAACGGTGAAATGATTCGTCGGCAGATAACCATGTCAATAAATGCGTCTGTTTTCACCGGGAAGCTACGCATGAAAAAGCGGTGCAAGTATTACCGCAGACGCCGTGCAAACTCAGGTAGTTGCTACCAGGCGAGGAGGTAAAGTGTTGAGAAGCACGATGACCACGAGACCACTTGGTCAGGGCTGACATACTGCAACTGAGCAGACCACTAGACCACTAGTCAGCGCTGACATACAGCAACTGGGCAAGTGCGTAGCTGCCTGCAGTAACTTCCGGATGAGAAGACTTCGCTATGAGTAGTGCTGGAGACACCTACAGTTCGGTTGTGTGATGTAGCCGGAAACTGCGGAATGTCCTTTTGCGTTCCTTAAAGCAGTGTTGTAGGACAGAAAGTAAACTTGGGAGCACTGCCCCGAGGTGTAACACTTTCCGTTGGACACCAATCGAAAGAATCAAAACAACCGTGGCACCCGCCAGCCAAAAACGGGAGGAGAGACAGTTGTGCGGAAAATGGGGTAGCCCGCCGATCGCTCTTGTTTGGAGGTTGTCTGGTAAGCGACACATGGTACTATCTCGCGGTAAACGTATGAACCGGCTCATTAGTGGTGTGAACGCGGAAGCTATCATCCTCACTCTGTTCCTCATCCCCTCCCCTCCCCTCATCGCTCGCCCGTGCGTGGTGTGTTGTCATGCTGTCCCCCCTCATTTGTCTCCCTTCCCGGCCTCCACCTTCCCTTTGACGCTCTCTCCCTCTCCGACAGGTTCAGCGACAACAACGGTGACCCCAGCGGTGCAGCGCCGATGCCGATGCCGACGCCGATGCCGGTGGCGCCTGACCTAAACCACGGCGGGGGTTTCGACGGCGGTAACTTCAAGCTCAACAGCATGGCCTTCTGTCCGTCTGCGCGCTTCCTGGACGAGTTGCAAGGCAGCGGTGGGGACCCTGGGAAAGGCTTCGCGTATGATGAAAGCTTTCAGCAGCCTCAGGTTGGCTTTGGCGCGATGGCCATGGGCAACGACAACAGCATCCACGACGACATGATAGGCGCGGGGCAGTTTGAGCTGCTTGAACAGCAGCAGCAGCAGCAGCAGCAGCAGCAGCAGCAGCAGCAGCGCCTGCAACACCAACTCGACGGCCAGCACCAGCAACATGAGTTTCAGAGGTTCGAGAAATTTGGCGCCGCCGCAGACCCCACTTTCGTGCAAGAACGGACCCACCACCACCACCACCACCACCACCACCAGGAGCAGGAGGAGAACTTCCCAGTCGGCGCATTGGTGGACATGCCGTTGGACATGCTTTTGCTGTACGGCGATTCCGGTGATGGCGGCAGCGTCGCCGACGGCGACGGGGGCTGCGTGAACATCGATCTCGAGTTTGATACGGTCAACGGCTTCGGCTTGCTGTAAGTTTCGTGGCATCACTTCCTGGATGGATGGGGATATATCCCATGAAATCGGAACTTACAGTCCCAGCCACGGTGAACGGTATTGGTGCTTGTTAGACAGTATTGATGCTTGGTAAGACAAGAATTGGTGCTTGTTGAGACAGTATGGGTGCTTGGTAAGACAGTATTGGTGCTTGAAAGACAGTATTGGTGCTTGGTAAGACAGCGCAAGTTTCGGGTAAGGAACAAATTCACATGTGTATTAGACGGGGGGGGGGGTCACGCTTTGTTTGTTTGTGCGACTCAATCATGTGGTGGAATGCTGTGGCGTGGTTTGTTTTCGGGGACAGTGCTCTTGATGTGGGTGTGGTGGATGTGCATGCCCTTTGTTCTACGGGCGAAGTGGTGGTGGTTTTTGCGCCGGTTTTTCGTGGATTGAAGACGGCTTGGAACAACCACCACGTCGCCCGTTAAAAGAACAAACTGACTGCCCTTGTTGACGTTTTTAATGGTGTACATGCACACCCCCAGGAACCGTGATGTTGTTGCCCAAAGGTTGTGTCGTACAACGTTTTTTTTCACGATTTCACAACTCGTCGGTGTTGATTATATTTTCTATGATCTAGTCGACTATCCGATATATTTTTCTTTTTAACTTTTTGGTGCTCGGTGATCCTGAGGTCGTTGGTGCTGGGATTCTTTTACTTTGGCTGAGGTTGTTTCCATGTCACAAAAAGTTGCTAATCTCTCCGTGTTGTTTACACCGTTTACTTGGTTTTCCTGCGTTTGTGACCGCCCCTCAGGTGGTTCTCTGGATGATCTGTTCTTGTGCGTGCCATACAGTATATATGTCTTTGCATCAACCGTTTTATTTTGGGTGTTGGACAAACATCCTCTCAGGTTTCCATTTGTCGTCGTGCTCATAGTTTTCGGCGTGTATCTTTGTTCTTTCAGCTTCTTTTCTAAACACATCTATCTGTCTTGCGGGAAACGCATGCCTCTTGCCTCAGGCACTAAGCTTTGCCAACTGCGATCCGTGGTTTTAGTGTAGTCCGAGTAGTCTGGTGAGTCGTCCGGGGAGCCCGGGGTATTGGTGGTGGTTGTTCATGGGAAAGATTCGCACAACGGCGTTAAGTTGCAGCAACACCGGCGTTCGATTGTCGATTGATCGTGAACAGATCTTGGCTTATTGCGCGTATCATAAGAAAAACTTGGGATGGCCCCCCATGTTGTTATGACGCCGTCTGCGAGACGGAGCCCCGGTGCGTGCGTATATGAAGTGTCAATTAAGGCTTTGCTAGTAATAGTAGTGTGTTCGACCTGTTGGGCTTCAAACCGTCCATGACGTGTTGAATGTTGTTGGTCTCTGGGTGCGCTTGGATACGTCATGCCACAACCCCCCCCCACTCCCGTCGTTGATATAGCAGTTGCCAATACCAATACAAGTAGGAACTCTAGGAGGGGTATCAGGGAGCAACGGAGTTTTGTTGCTGAGTCGTTAGACACTGGATGAATTGGCAGCAAACACTTTTGGCCTTTTGATCTAGTCGAGTCTGGTTTCGTTACCCACCGCAGACAAGACCACGAGTTCTTTCTTTTTTTGCTCCAGTGGGTCGCTGTCGGGACTGTGTGATGGTGTTTTTGTTTGTTTGGTAGGTGGTGTTTCTCTGTTTCTTTGGTGCGTTGCGTGCTCTCATTAGCGTTTCGTTCGTTCTGGACGAAAAAAATGTAAGTCGTAGGTGGATGGATTCGACGAAGGGTGGGTGTAGTTGCGGAGGTTTATATGTTGTTGTAGTTTGATGGTGTGTAGTTCATGTTTTCGTTTATTTTGTGTATGGTTTCACCACATGGGGTCGGGGGTCCTTGCAGTGTTACCCGAAAGCACGATCTCGGTTTGTTTGTTGGGTCTTTTCGACGAGACCTGTTTTGCGTGTTTTGAAGTACGCAGGCGCTTGTGTGATACTTTTGATTTGTTTTTTAACAACAGCTGCCACAGCAGTGGTTGGAACAAGATAGGCAACAAACTCTGAGGGAGCGAATAGAGTTTCTCCTCCCAGCTATCTCGGGGGTGGGAGGCTAGAGGGGGAGAAGGCGCCGGCGAATCCTGGCAAGATAAGTAAATTTATGCACGAGGGAGGGAAGTCATGGAGCGATGTGTCGCCGGGTGCCAGTACGTCGATCGGAGGTGGAAGTACTGCTGTGAGGTTTTGACCGCTGGGGCAATGAATGCACGGGTGCGGGCTTGATGGGGTTCATTGAGAGGGTGCAACGCGTGGTGGATGGATGAACGCTTGCCGCTGAACGCAAACCCGAAAACGTTGAGGCGTGAGGATGCCTTGTGGCAGAGGCGCGCATGCATGTGGTGTGATGGTGTTTGTGGGAGGGGTAAGGTTAAGTAAGGCATGTACCATGAAGTAGGCATGGTGAAGGCTGAGAGTGTTCGCGATGACGGGTGACCCCACGCTTCAGAGGAGTGGGGTGTGGGTCTTTAGAGCGGCGGGCAGGCATATCTACGTGTACCTGCAGACGAAGAAGGGCACCCAAGGCATACAGCATGTTGCCCGGCATCTCAGACAAGAGGGGTCCCTTGATGGTTAGAAGCGGTGCGGCGGGGGATGTAGGTTGATAGCGTATCCAGTAAGTAGTGGGAGACGCGCCAGGTTCTGGTTAGTAAGTAAGGCTGTGCCGAACGTTCGTGTTTCACACATAATACGCACATTTTTTTGTCCCCGCCCTCAGAAAACGCAGGCTGGGCAAAAGTCGACGTGTTTCTCTTGACACATGCGTGTGTCCCCGTTCTATGGCACAGTAGCCTCTTTTTTTGGCGCGAGATTCGTTTCTGATCTATCTGTGGTTTTTTTAGGGCGAGATTCTTGATTGGGCACCGGTTGTCTTCTTTGTAGACTATGCATGTTCGAACCCGCCTCAACTCACTGACGGTGCGGCAAAAGCCAAACAGAAGTTGCGGTGTGCAGCAGGCGGTGTGGCAGAATGTGGGACGAATGACGTGAGATGGCCTCTTTCGCGTGGTCGGAGAGTGAGGTGTTCTGTGGCTTGCGACGTGTTTGTTGGAGTGTTCGGCGTCTTGATTTGCAGCGTTTCGGAGTTGGCCTGTTGGTGGTACATCCACTGAGAAGAGGTTCCCGGCGTTCGTTGTAGGTGAGCGTGGGGGAAGTGCTGCTGCTGGTGCCTAGGACGGAGGGCATCATCAAACGATAGACTTGCGTGATTGGTTCTGTGTTTATTGTTGCGTTTCAGTCTTGGTTGACAATAACAATGAAAATACTACGCACGCCCCCGGATGGTACGAGAGGGAGGAGTGGACGCGGTTGGAGGAAAATCACGACAATTACTAACTTTGACCGAATTTTCCCCAGCTTCGTTCGGAGTCGAGCTGTTTTTTCCAGGCTTATTTTTATTGTTGTGCAGTAGTAGTGCCCCTCCCTCATCTTAGCTACATTAATCCCTAGTACTCCGTACATAGCGGCCGTTTGCAGCATAGCGCTATTTAGGAACTAAGAACCCCTGCCTCGCGTAAAACTAGAGGATGGTTCTTGAGTACGAGCGCTAACTGCATTGCACAACAGGAGGTGACGTCATGGCCGTGGCTGACGTCATCTGTCTGCCATGGAATTTTCGAACAAAGGAAATTTCCTTTCAAGGAAATTGACCAATCAGAAAACTACGGGCACCTTTTCTCTCTCTCTCTCCGTACATATTTTTCTCGTTTTTCTTTGAACCATATTTTTCCGTTTCGCTGCTGCTGCCTGCCGTTGTCAGATCACTTTGAACGTACATGTAGAGCGTCGTCATCAGGACCTCTTTTCAGCAAGGTCTGACTTTCGCGGAAAAGACTAAACGAAGCAATCGAGCAGAGGAAAACCATCAGGGAAGAAACTGTTCTTGACTATACGAAGTCTTAGCAGACCGTAAGCCACTGATTACTATCAAACTACGCTGCACATTTGCTTGTGATGCCCCGTCATGAACACAAGCAACGAACCAATCTACATTCATCCTTTCCCACCGCTTGTCTTACTTCCTTAGCGACTTGTGGATGCACCTGCTTCTTTAAGAGTCCCGTCTTCTAATTTGTTCGTGTCCGCTACGTTAGCTCTTCGAGGGCGAGGAAGCGCGAGGACACAACATCTGCGTAGGTACGTAGGTACGTGCGTACGTGTCTCTTCGATGTCCACCTTGCGTACTGCTCTGGGAGAAAAACTCCAACTACGCAGCACCCTTGGCAAAACACTGCTAGCTCTTCGAACAGCACCATAAACCAAGCCCTACACCGCACCCAAGCGGAATTTCTCCCCCATTGCCCTGGGATATCGCACACTTTCAGCCCGCACCGTGTGTACAAAAACGCACCCACGCCCTCTCTACACCTCGATTTTTTTCCGGTGTCAAGTGGAGACTGTGTTTACGGAAGCATCGATTCTCCCTTAGCCATGCTCTAAAGTAGTACGTATCCCCGGAGTGCAGCAAAAATCGGCTCGAAACAAGCGAGGGAAAAAAAATCCTTGCAAAAAGAAAAAAAGTGTCCAAGAACAAAAAAACAGCCTCGTTGATAGAGCTTGGTCCGAAAAATGGTGTGGATTGAAACCACAGGCACCACCACCGACAGCAGCAACAACACACAGTAGCGGAACAATGAATCCTCGGGATGAATCTACACAAACGATCTGACCCATCATCATGCATAAATAGCTTCATGTATGAAGCCGCACGCAAAAGGCAACATCCAGAAACGCTTCAGACAACTCTCCGGCCGGATGCAGACACGAAGGAGTTCGGGGAAAAGTTCGGGGGATCGGACTAGATAGATCGGACTAGATTGTGCCCGCGAAAATGACCTAATGGCACAGCAGTCTACCCCGCGTGATAGCAACCAGCTGGCGAACCTTCCCTTCGAGTCAGTCCCCCGGCAAAGATTTCCGTCACCAGGAACAGAAGGAAAAACCAGCGACCGACCGGCGGGAGGAGCAACACAGAGGCGCCCTTTTCCTCAAGACACCACCTACTACCCTGATAAACGTTCCGCCCTGAATAAAGCGGTTCTTCTTCCTACGCTTACACTTTGGATGCGTCCCGCATGGATCCTACTCCTTCTCTCGCACACGGGTCATTGAAACGACAAAAAAAAACGCCAACGCCAGACCGAGGCTCTGCAGCTAGCAATAATAGGATTTCTTTTGCCCTTGTTCGCCGTCGCCTTTTCTCACCCCCTCCCCCTGGTCTCGGGATGGCGGTGCCCCCCGGCTGTGGAGATTAGACCAGGCTTTCCGCCTCAAGACACGATGGCAACGTCTATTCTTTCCAACCCCCCCGCATTTTCAGCGGGAGGGATGGACACTGCTGTGCGAACGAAGACGGCACTCCGCGTCACACGCAAAAAAAAAACTATAGACCACCATCTGCCGTCGGAACCCCCCCATTACCACCAGCGGTAGCCCCGGCTTTTGCTTGACTTCGCGGCGGCATCCCCCTCACCAGCACCAGAGAGTCCAGCCACGCCTCGAAGGCCGGGTCCGTGTACGCCGCGATCGGTTTCACGTGCTCCCGGAAAACTAGGCGGCCTAGCCCGGATTTCTCTATCACCATCGCGCGCGGCATCATGCGCTTCTTGAGGCTGTATCTGTTTTTTATTTTTTAGGGGGGGGGGGGGGGTGTACTCATAGTCGTGCATGCCGTAGTCGTTTGACCATTGACCTCGCATCCCTACAAAGCCGGGACGGAGCACGCCGGGTTCTCACCGGACCAGGCTCTCACATCACCAAGCGCGAAGCGCCGTGAGGTATTTGGCGAGTCGCATGAAGGGTGAGCTGCATCCTGCTAAGGGTGTTCGGCATCTTGTGCTTACTTCCTTGCGTACGGATGACAGCTACGTATGACTTAATTTATTTTCTGGTGCTTTCACTTCCAGAGACAGTTGTAAGCACTGTGTAACTGCCTCGAGGAAGCTTGACCAATTTAACACAACGTGGTGCGATCATCCCCCGTTGAGCGGAGTGAGCGTTCTCGACCCCGCACAACATGATCTACTCGACCACCATTATGGTTACCGCCAAAAAAAAAAACAGAGGTAAAAAAAAAAGACGGTAACCTGGTTGCCGAGTTCACGAGGTGAATTGGCTTGTTTTACAACGTCGTTGCCAAGCGACGAAAACCCAAACCCCGATGGCAAACACCGGGGGGGGGCGGCTTGTTTTACAACGTCGTTGCCAAGCGACGAAAACCCAACCCCGATGGGGGGGGGGGGGGGGGGATGAAATATTTCGGGGAGGGGGGGGGAACAAAGGGGGGGGGGGATTTTAGGTTTTTTTCGGAACTTTTTTTGGGTTCCGTTTCTGGGGGGGGGAAAGGGGGTTTTTTCCCGGAAGCAATGGTCTTTTTCCAGGGCAGGGGGGGGAGGGGGGGGAAGCCTTTCCCCCCTGGGCCGGAATTTCCCTCGGTTTTTTTTTTCCCGAAATTTTGGTGGAAAAGGGGCCGAAAATTTTTTTTTCTTAAACGTTGCTTGGTTTTTAACCCCTTGGAAGGAGGGTGCCCAAGACCCCTTTTGGGGGCCCCCCCTTTCCCCGGAGAAAATGGTTTTTACGGGTGGACCAAGAAAACAAAAGGTTTTTAAAAACAAAAAAAAAAAAAGGGGGGGGGGGGGAAAA